CGCAGGTATTTTGTACTAGGAATTTTTGGTTCTTTTTCCAAATACCGATACTGCTTAAGATATGACTCATTATAACGGTTTGTGAATACATTTATTGTAAACGTCTAATATGACGTTATTATGCTATTTAAATGATATCTAAATAGCTTAAGTCGGAAACAGTGGCAATCATTCATTTATTAATTTTCGGTCATAATTAGCAGTAATTTAGATTGTAATTCCATAATCTATGCTAGCGATGGAATATAACTCAAGATTTTTATGAATTACTGTGTACTTTCGTTTCTGTTGATGTCACCTTATCACCCACCGAATTGGGAACTCAAGTAGAGTGTATGACTCCCTGATTGAAGTCTTGAAACTTGCGCATATCTATTCTTCTAAATTTTCAGCTGACATAAATTTGGCCATTATTCATATTAGTTTTACCCTAAGTTATTTAAGTGAAGATTACCAATAGTATACTGTTGTGAAAGTGCGCAGGGCACACAGTCCGCGGGGCACGAAAAATTCGCAGAAATGCCAGCAGTGGAAGTGTTACAGCTTCAATATTGGCTATATGCATAGTTTGTTGTTTTGACTGTTTGGAGTTGCAAATCTCGAGTTGATTTTTCATTTTGATGATTAATCAGCGATCTCTTCTCTGAAGTCCAGGTATCCGTTTTCCTTCCTCATTATACAACACTACCTCAATCTGCAGTCTAGTCAAAGAGCTCATGTCATCAAAGAGTGGCCGAGAGACTGAGTAATGCTGACGATTTCAAGTGTTATGAAGTCAAATCTAACGCCATGGATTTTGGTTTATCGAACATTCATCGTCCGCAAATTCGAAGCGGAAGAAAATACCTGCAGAATTTGAGAAACTACTGAAATCTCATAAGGAAAGCATTTGCATTTCAGTAGTTATCCGAGACCACATTACACCTCCCAGTCTGGTTTGGTTCTGATGCGAATGAACGATTCTCAGTTAAACAACAAGGCCGGCAGACGTGTATACCGTATTCACAAATGGAAGTTCAGAAACTCTTCTAAATGTAAGGTTAGAGCGGATAACCAATCCATGGTCCGTCAAATGACATCGAATGACCGTTCTTACTATAGTCTGAAGTCCACAGCATCTCGGAACTTTGGAATCATGATTTGCTCGCTACAATAGTTTGAATGAAAGAAGAATCAGATTTGTACTAAAAAAACTTAGTACCATTTTTTGAGAATGGTTCCTAAAAAATTTGAGGAATTACCAGTGCGTAAGCGTTTCACAAATGATAAAATAAAACGATATCTGCTGAACTGAGATCTGAAGGAGTTTTGAAATTGCTAGTGTTTCCACACCGGCAGAAAGATGAAAAGGGTTTGCTCTGGAGAGCCTGTGATTATTTCTAAATTTGAATTTGTGCGCGTAATCAGAAAACCTTGAATTAGTATCCGAATCAGTTTCGATGTCCGTCATTTGTTTCTGTCGCGCTCACGAAGGTATCATTGAAGAAATTCGTTTCTGGTCCAGATGCTATAATGTATTACGTTTATGCATAACATAGTATGCATGTTTTACGAAATAAAGCCTAATTAAAATAATGTCACTTTAAATTAGTCTATGAATACCTCGTCCAACTCGTTCGATATCCGAAAGTGTGCTTATTCTCATCTCTTGTTGACCAGAGGTTGGTTAATTTTAATTAATTATTTTCTTAGGCAAAAATGGACGAATTACAACTTTTCCGTGGCGACACGGTAATCATTAAAGGGAAGCGTCGAAAAGACACGGTGTGCATAGTGTTGTCCGATGACACGTGTCCAAACGAGAAAGTACGCATGAACAGAGTAGTGCGTTCGAATCTGCGGGTCAGATTGGGAGACATTGTCAGGTAAACAACGTGATTCATGTCAGTTAGCTAAGTATGAGGTTTCGGTCGTTTCTAGTGTGCAAGCACAACCGGACGTCAAATACGGCAAAAGGATCCACGTGCTTCCAATAGATGACACGATCACTGGCCTTACGGGGTATGTATTGATCGCTCCTGTCATTGTGTATTTTATCAGTTGTTTTCTTTTTCGTAATCGTTTGTTTTTTGAGGAACCTATTCGAAGTATTTCTCAAGCCGTATTTCACAGAAGCATATCGACCCGTGAGGAAGGGTGACTGCTTTTCAATAACGGGTGCCATGCGAACCGTGGAATTCAAGGTAGTTGAAACGGACCCTTCGCCGTACTGCATCGTCGCTCCCGAGACTGTGATTCATTGTGAGGGGGAACCGATCAAACGAGAGGTACGATTGAATTTAGGCTTTTGCAGGTCGAAATATATTCATCACATTGCGTTGCACATTTATTCACTATAAAAATTAAGCACAAGAGATCCGTAACATCATAATCGACAACGCCAATGGAAATGCCGAGAACTGAAGCGATCCGTAGCACGGAAGAATTATAAATGTGCTCAGTCTAAAGCCAGTCAGTGCATTCGGTCTGTACAAAGAAATGGTATCAAGCTGCTCCTTTTGGCAGTAGAAATGGAATCCATTTTTACAGTGTTTTGTAGAAATACAGTTTTAAATGGCAAGGTTTAAATATACATAAAACCATTTTGTTTTCGTTCTTGTTTAGCTGTTCGGCGTAGGCACCTGTAACCGTGTAATCTTTCGTCAGTTGAATGCGTTGTTCTGCTCAGAGAATTGATAAGGCAATGTACTTCACCTTTAATTATAGTGTTATCTATAACTGATGTAAGTGTCTGCCGAGGAAGCAGGCATCATGCTAATTATATATTGCCGACTAGTGGCAGTCAGACAATACTGCTGCGGATTTGACCATACCGGTATAGACTAAAAGTAATTCGCAATTCGGTAATGCGAGTTTTTTATACCCGGCCTACATCGAACACGTGGCATAATATTAAACATGCAGGAGACACTGCAGAGACTTAGGTGTATGGAAGGCTTAATAATAATCCACTAATCTTGAGGGCTTGGACTGAATCGCAGATCAGCGTCAGTCCATACCAGTGTTGACTGGATTACAAATTAATTTCAGTATATGCTGTTATGGACGAATTGCTATTATGAATTGACGCGACGCTGACACTTATTATCATACATAAATGTATTGCTTAAATTCTCTATAGGGGTGCAGGTTTTTCATAACAAGCGTCTTCAGTAGTTTTACTCCATTGTTTACAAGTCGTTCAAAGTTTCGAATCACGCTTGGTTAGTCTTCAGGGGCAGTACTGCGCAAGAATTTTAAACCAATTTTTATTTTTTTTAAATTCCCTTTTTCAACCGAGCAGTCGGATTGAAACTTTACTTTCTCTGTGTCGCATCCATATCCCGTTATATTGTTAGATGTCATTCCTCCACTTTTACAGTTCATATGTCGTTCCTTTCATATCCTGAAATACCAGGAACATGAGATTTCTGCTGTTCGCTCGGTTCTAGCCAATTATCAAGCCAGTTTCATGGGTTGAGTTTTAAAATAGGACTGTGCTAGCTGTTTGGTATGTGCATGCTGTATATCCCTTGACCAGGAGCCACATGGATTTGCGAAGCGAGAAGTATCTCTTCGCTTGTATATTTTTTTTCAGCTGCTAGTTACTATGGTCAGGCGTTCCGCAAGTGACAGTTTCTATTGGAATGAAAGCATATGAATCAGTCGTATGAATCCATGTTTGAGCTTTCCTCAGAATGTTTTCTCTAGGAGGAAGAAGAACGACTGGACGAAGTGGGCTACGACGATATTGGCGGTTGCCGAAAGCAGCTCGCGCAGATCAAGGAGATGGTAGAGCTTCCGTTGCGACACCCGCAACTTTTCAAGGCAATCGGAATCAAGGTAATTTTAATATGTTTGAATGGAATATTTGGCTGTTAGGGATGAAAGGTAAAAACCAAGTAGAAGTGCTTTTGAAAAGAATTTCGACATCTACGCCCAGAAAGATGGTACTGCTTGATTCAATATAATGATGCACAAGTTTTATTGATTCCCTAGCATGGCCGTTAGATCTTGTCCAAAAATGGTTTCATTTGTACTTTTCATGTTAAGTTACAACTGAAATCTTTACTACGAAGTGTAGCAGAATTTTTCCTTTAAAAAATGAATGCATTGGCTAATATAGCGTAAAACGTCTAGTAATCTAAAGTAATCTTTTTCTAATTTATATGCTAGATTTGGATCGTTATTATCTTCTCCATATTCTTTGTAAAATTGCATGAGTCAGAAAACCCTTTAAGGATGGCTTTCTTTTTGTGCAGCTCGCTAACCTACGAGACCAGTAAAGAGCAGTCAGCAGTCTCTGCATCGAAACACTATGCCCTTCTGGCACTGTGCCTTTCTTGAACCATCTTAAGTCTGTGTTATTCATAAATAAAGCCACAATTGTAGTTTTCGTCGTAGTCCATTATGATAAAAATACGGCAGAGCAAACTGTTGCCTAGTCATTTGTTACAGAACGTGGAGAATTCAGAACTGGTACTTTTGGGTTGAAGTAAAAGCGAGATTTGAACTATTTGAACTATGAGCAAGAAAACTGCAACCGATTGATTACGCAATGGTATTAAAAAATAAGAACCTGGGTTGCTCGTGAGTTCAGATTTTTGTCATGAGCTCAAACTCATACCCATATGTTGAATTAACGCTTGATAGACACTAGTCTGTCAGAGAGATATCTGTATATTATCTCCAGAGTGGTAATCCATTCTTATGTGTATAGATTGAAATCCATTCATCCTTCGTTCAGTCCAAAATGGTAACGTTTCGTTTAACCGCGTAATGACCCATTATAATGATCAATAAGCGCCGCGCTTGTGCTCGACATCAGATTAGCAGTGGACCATTAATGAAGTCCTTACATGAAAGAAAGCAGTTACTTGATCAAAGTCTTTCGCATGGGGAAAGTCTGTCATCAGTGCTTAAATTTTGTGAAATCTTGGCTCTTAGTTTCGAACGTTTAACAAATTTTTTCACCCCCTCCCCATTAGGATGGCAAGTCTTCCAGTCATTTAAATTTGTTGCTGGTTTATTCCCCCATTACTGTTTCCCGTGTCTACCTTTTTCTTCAGTTTCTCTCTTCAAATTATCTTGTTCGACTGCCACCGGGTAGCATGGGTTTTTGCGATGCTATGGTTTGCCACCTTTTAACCTTTATCGTCTGCTCTTATTTATGCAGGTCTCTTGTTTCTGAGTTGTCGTCTAGTTTCTTCGATATAGATGTTTCCTCAAGTGCAGTGGCACAATTACAGTACTGATGTACCACCTGATATAACTACATCCGTCGCTTCTTTGAACTAGGGCCACGAGTCCAGTTCAAGTAAATCATGTCAATCTAGTAGGGGCAATTACACCAAGCTTGGCTTTTCCTACAAGTGGTTTAACCGCCGTAAGATGCAGGACCGTTGCGGATCTTGCTCCGGATTGGACAGTGCATTCGTTAATTCGTTCAACTTATTTTATCCATAAATTAAATGTATGCATGAAAACATTAAATATTTAGTTTAGTAAATTATGTATAAAGTTTGAGTTCAAACCAGGGTTTCTTTCTGAATGAAACTTCTTCTGAAGACACGCACTATACTTTAACATAGTGTTCATATGTGTTCAGATGAAATTTTGTTAATCGCAAGTTAGTTCTTCGACGGCTGACGAAGACCGACGCAACGACGACGAAGATACCAGTCAGCAACGGAGTCGCTACCCGTTCTG